CAGTCTATTAGAGGGTTAAAGTCCTGCCCGGCCTCTGGGCTCACAGCCAACACCACTTCCTCCAGGAAGCCTTCTAGGCTCTCTTCCCCGGAAGTCACTCCCTGTCCAGAGGCTACATTTTTTTGTCTACTTTTCTCAAGTATTTAGAACTACTTTTTTGTTTGTTTTTTGAGACAGGGTTTCTCTGTGTAGTTTTGGAGCTTGTCCTGGAACCAGGCTGGCCTTGAACTCACAGAGATCCGCCTGCCTCTGCCTCCCGAGTGCTGGGGTTAAAGGTGTGTGCCACCACCGCCCGGCTAGAACTACATATTTAATTAATAGTTTTTGTAAACATTTAGTTCTGTGCATGCATTTGGGGTTCAGAGGCAACTTTTGAGCTGGCTCTTTCTCCATGTGGGTGGGTTCTGGGTACTGAACTCAGTGTTGGTGGCAAGTGCATTTCCCCAGTGAGTCATCTCACCAACCCAACACTACACACTACACACTACATACTACATACTTTCGGTGGTGATCTACAGAATCACTCACTCCTCATGATCCCGCTTCCGCCCTCCCTCCCCTCATTAGTTTTGGTTTGTTGCAACAGGGTCTCACTCTGTAACCCAGGCTGCCCTTGAACAGTCTCCTTGCCCTAGCCTCCCAAGTGCGGGGATTACGTGCAGGAGCCACCATGCGCAGATTCATTCTTCAGATTTTTATGAGGGTACAGAGGAGGCACCCTGTCTGTCTTTCCTGGAACCTAGTGCCACTGTTATACACAGTTGGGTGAATGAGGGAACCAGAACACAGTAAGCTGTCACCAGTAGCAGGCACTATAGGGAGGGTGTTTACACACCAGCTCCAGAGTCCAGGCAACAGTCAGTGCCCCCATCTCAGCCCACAAGTTTAGAAATGATTCTGAGTATGAGTCAGGAGCTTGGGCTCAACCCAAGGTTCTTAAACTTCTGGGCATTTCCCACTTTTCAGTGTCTATTTAGAACTGTATTTAGCATTATTTTAAACTCCTCAACTCAATCTCCAGAACATCCCTGTGTCCTTTTACGTTTTGGTTTCCCTAAAGATTTATTTTTGTGTGTCTGTGTATCCCCCTGCATGTACTAAGCATACCACATTTGCACACTGACCACAGAGGCCGTAAGGTCATGTCCAATCCCTGGGACTGGAATTAGAGACTTCTGTGAGTTGGCATGAGGGTGCTGGGAACTAAACCAGGAATAACAACTCTACAGGAATAACAACTGCTCTTACCCACCAAACCGTCAATCTCTCCAGCCCTACATCTCAGCTTTAATAACTGAGACAGGATGGCAGCGAATAGTTCACCCCAATAACATATATGCCAGGAGGGTGTTAGAGGTAGGCCTGAACAGTCAGGTGGCACATGTGAGTCCCGCCTGTCTGCCATGGGAGTTGTTAGGATGTACGGGCTTAGGAACCACTTTCCGTCTCATCCTATTTTGCATCCTGTAAGAGCCCTAAGGTAGAATGTAGTTTTATCATTCCCATCTCCCACTTGCTCTAGACCCAATGCCTACCTGAAACCTTGGCCTCCCTGTCTCATCACTAGACTTAGGACAGTAACAACACATACTACAAGAGTTGTTATACCAATGAGCAAACACCAACAGAGAGGTTCTGCTAACAGCGTTCTGTGCACCTCCTTCAGTGATAATTTCATTAAAAGAAAATAAATGTTCTATGTAAGTGACTGAAAGGGAACAGTTTCATACCTTTTATTCTCTATCTCACATTTTTGAGTGTGTGTGAGGCAACTCTAGTCAATTCTCTTCACAAAGTACATCCTGAGGACTGAAAACAGGCAATCCTCTGCCTCTGCAGCTACTGTCCAGACCATAGGTATCATACTACCATCCCTGGCTCAAGATAATTGTTATATCATTTATGCATGCACGACATACATAACATTAGGACTTGGATTTGAGATGGTTTTTAAAAATCAGTAGCTTTCATTTCGTTGTGACCCAGCACATGTTTGATGACAAATTCTATTTCTTGAGATTTAAAACTATGCTCTTTAACACACTGAAAGATTTACACACAATGAATCAAAAGCATAGGTATGCAGTTACTCCAAAGGGACATAAAGCCACTCAACCAGCCAAACCAGATGTCAGCTTGATAAGCATATTCATTTTGAAAACCATGTCCGTGGCCCAGGTAGCTGAGATCAAGACAGGCCTGTGCACGGGGAAGGAAGGACTCATATTCAAAGCCCAGTGACAGTTAATGGGAAAGTGATATTTCAGTCCTTACTTATCAGTCCCTATGACCTCCATTAACAGATGCTGCCTCATTTACTGATGAAATCAGGTTTCTAAAGAAAGGTCCGACCTTAGAGCAGACTGAATTCACTAAAATAAGAAATGACACCTACTTAAGCCTCTTGGAGACTCAACCTTTTCAAATACACATCAAATCCTGTGTGGCGTTGGATTCTACACTGGATCTACCAAATCATAAACTGAGGTGGATCCAACAATCTAGCATACCTTTTAGGCCATGCTAGATTTTAGTTACTCCTTTCCTCTCACCAACATCTACTCAGATCCTATGAGTCATGCCCCATCCCCCAAGATAGGGTTTCTCTGTGTAGCCCTGGCTGTTGTCTTGGAACTTGCTCTGTAGACCATGCTGACTTTGAACTCAGATTTATCTGCCTGCCTATGGCTCCCTAGTGCTGGGATTAAAGGCGTGCCACCAGTGCCTGGCAGTCCTATGATTTGTTAATCTCTTAGGATTCAGCCATAACACTGAGGGCAAACTTCTCAATTGGATGACTTCCCACTTCATTTTTTTCCCTAAAGAAATTTCCTCAAATACCAAGGCGATTTTATACAAAAACCTAAGATAACTCGTTCTTTACCCACAAATAAAATGTATGGCTGTACTGAGCTACTTGCAACTTTAAAAACTTACTTTCTACCACCCTTTTATTCAGAATGGGGGGTGCTCATGGAATCTAGACTGGACTTGAATTCCTTATATAGTCAAACATGACCTTCAACTCCTGATCCTCCTCTCCCCCCACCCCCCAGTTTTGTTACTACAGGCATGCAACATCCTGCCCCGGTTTTAAGGTCTCCATGCATTCTAGGCGAGCACCCTGTCCACCGAGCTACAGGCTCAGTCCCTTTATTTCCCTAGTCATGTTTTCCTCTGGAGTCCATCATCACAGGTTAGTCTTCATTTTTGCCTGACTTACTGCTTTTAGTTCTTTGGTCTTAGAGTTTCAGATTTTTTTCCCTCCCTCTTTCCACTGTTTTTTAGATAAAAATCTCACTATGTGGCCTTAGCTTGCTTCAAACTTGTAACTGAGAATTTTCTTGTGTCAGCATCCAGAATGTGGTCTAATTAGGAATAAACCACCACCTGCCTTATACTTGTATTTCTTTAATAAGCAAGGCTGGCCTTTTCTGCCAGGTATATGGATTAATGTTAATGATTAACAATTGAGTTCTCATATATCAGCAACTCATGTAAGTTAAACAAGACTATTAATTAGACAATGCTTTTTATTCAAAATTTATTTTATTTTTAGCTATGTGTTTGTTCGTATCTGTGCCTATGAGTATGGGTGCCTGAGGAGAACAGAAAACCCACTGGGTTCGTGGAGCTGGAGTTACAGGCAGTTGTTTGTAAACAGTGCGGGTACTGGGAACTATACCCACAAAAGATCATAACCACCTAGCCATCTCTCTAGGCCCTGAATATCAGTCCTTCCTTCCTCCCTTCCCTTTCTTTCTTCCTTTTCCAGTCTCAACATTCAGCTCTTGCTGGCCTGGAACTCTGTGTAGACCAGCCTGACCTAAGATTTAAGAGAGCCACCTGCCTCTGCCTTTTCAGTGCTGAGATTAAGGGTATGCCCTACCACACTGGACTGAAGAGTGTTTAAGATACTAGGTACAATGTAGTAGGTATACTTCAATGAGTGAATGGACAGATTCTTGTGGCATTTCTACTCTGGTTTGTCTGTATTAAGAATAACAAATAGCAAACACACACACACACACACACACACACAAAAACCCACCCCAAATAGCAGTCACGCTCTGGAGCTAGTTTCTTGGGTTCTCATTTGGGTATTTCTGATAAACATGGAGATGGTGCCTGTATTTTTCAGAGTTATGGTTGTGAGGATCAAGTGGACAGGTATTTTGTTAAACACTTAAGATCACAATAACAACCTTAAATATTACTTGCTATTATTTGTCATGTCCTGTTCCTACCATTTTCTATAAGCATTTTTTTCCACACAAACGAAGCAAGGTAAGCAAACTACGATGTTGAATCAAGAGATCAGGACTCAATTTCTGATTCATCTACTTGTTATCTATGGGATAAAAACTGTCTCTACTTAGTCCTACCATGAGAATTAGACAAGAAACACACAAAATGCTTGCCATAGGGGTTCACATATATGACACAGTCTACTACATGAGGCCGGGAGAAGAGTTCAGGGGTAAAGTTCTGGCCTGCCATGCATGGGGGCCCGGGTTGGTGGTAGTGGTGGTGGACTTATTTCCTTAAAATAACTAATATTAAAAAGGTATCAAGCTGCGTGCGGTATTACATGCCTATAATCCCAACTACCCAGGAGAATGGAGTTGAGACTGTCTAACTCATTAATGAGGAAAACCAAGTTCAGAGTATCAGAGGCTAAAAAACCTTTCTTTCGTTGTTACTGTCTTTTGTTTTTAAAAGGGGTCTCACTATGTAGCTCAGGCTGACTTGGAATTAGGTGAGACTGGCCAAAACTCAGAGGTCTCTTTGCTTCTACCCCTGGATTAAAGGCATGCCCCACCGTGTATGGCTTAAAGGATTTTCTGAAAGAACAGGGATGGAGGACAGGGGCTTCCTAAGTATACAAGGCACAGGTCCTTACTCAATAACATAGACACAGCCACGGATCTCAGGCTCTATGTCTATGCAGGCACATTTTCTAACTTCCATTCACAAAACAGGACAAAATAACAAAAAGGGATAGTCAACATTTATTTATTCTATATAATACTGTCCAAAACATTTTATACAGGATAACGCATGCCAATGGCACACCTATCCCTCCTCAAGCAAAGAAGAGTACAAAGCTTCAATGCAAAATGATAGATAGTAACTTTTTATTTCTTAAAGTTTATTATTCTTGTAATTACAACTGTAAGTTATAAGTTTGAAACATGAGAAAAATTCTGTGAAGAGAGCTCAAATAAAGCTGAACAAATAGGTAAAAGATGGTTAAAACTTTGTCTTTGTTTCAAGCGCAGGCTCTGGAGCCAGGGTCAACACCATAAAACATCACAAATGACTCTTAAGACATTCGTCCTATACAATCAAGCATGGAGATATAGATATGTTTATATAATATATACACAGTTTAGTACGACATTGGCCCACTGAGTATACATATCTTAACCAAGGATGAGTCTCTATGACCCAGCTAAGTGCACTGAAGATTAGGGCACACTTACTACACATCAGAAGTTGCTGTTTATTAAGTTACAGATATTTAATATTTCCAGAGTATCTTTTAATTAAAAAATTTTAAAGCATTTCAAACATTTTTCACTTTTCTCAGTGCAAAAGAAGGTTATTCAAGTCAACTTACCTTTCTCCTGAAGAGAGAGGGGAAGGGGGAACAAACAGAAAACATTGCCTATCACACTCTCAACATGACCTTCTCAGTCACCGTTTGCAGCAAATACTTAGGTCACTGGATTAGTTATCACAATTAAAGCCTTGTGGTTATGATTCAGCCCTTATGTCGTATGTATGACTTTTATGCTGAAATATTTATTTACAAAAGCAGAAAAAAGTTAGCAGTGCAAAAAGAAGGTGGTAGTTTTAAATTCCAGCCATCCAATAGTGTGTAGAAAGAAAGAAAGAAAGAAAGAGGAAGAATGAAAGAATGAAAGAATGAAGGAAGGAAGGAAGGAAGCACCATTTCCAGACGGACTGATTAGGTACTGTGGATTTATTTATAGGCCAGGCAGTAAGTTACTCTGGTCAACACAGTTCAATACCACCTTAACTTGGTGACCCTAGAGAATTTTTATTAGTTTGTAGGTGTATTTTCTTTATCTTGGTATTGAAAACACTAAATTAGTAACTCATGTTAAAAAAAAAAAGATACAATTTATAGTCATAGTTCATTTCAAATCCAGCTGTCTGTCAGGCCAGTCTAGCAGAAGATGGGTATAACAAAAGCAGAGCTCTGATATTTTGGTAAGTCTGTTTATTTTTCTCCCAATTTAAAAACCAGGAAATTTTTGGGGGGATGGGGTAGCGGGTAGATTGCCAATCTTACAGATGAAAAAATAAAGTAAATGAAGTAATTTAAACTACAAAGACAGACAAAAAGCGAGGGAATATATGTTATTTCTTTCATTTGTATCACTGCAAATAGCTGGGCCGCCACTAAAGAAACAAAACATACAATGGAAAACCAAGTACCTTCCAATTCTAGTTCAGAACACTTCTGAACTAAGAAGGCCAGTGTGGCTGCAAAGGCAGATGGGTCCAGGCTCACTGCTTAAACTGACAGGCTGTATTTTAAGTTACAAGTTTTCCTCACTAGCACTTAAAATGAACATTTCCTTACAAATTTGATTTGCAAGAAATTGGTTGTTTTATAACTAGGAAGTGTGCAGCGAGGTATCTGTTAATATTAAACCACTTTAAGTCCAGAGAAAGCTGTTTTAAAAAGGTTTCACACACAAGGCTTTAATGCTTTTATTTAGGAATTACTTGAGCCTGGAGCAATAATGGTTTAAATTTATTCATCCAGTGGAGTTGATCTTTGCAGAATGTTGCCTTGTCTTAGATAACAAGTTGCATTTTCTCCAGAAGTACACTTTTAACTGGCTAATTTGTACCGAGAAAAGAAACAGGATGGTCTTCTCCTTTCCCTTCAACCTCTCAGCTCAGGGAGAAAACCTCACACTCTCAGAACTCCAGTTGCTGTCATAGGAACAAGGGCAGCACAGTGCAAAACTACATCTGCTAGGTTCCAGAAGGCAGAGGCTTGGTGCTCTAGCTTTACAGGGAATAGTATAAGCAGGCAAGAGCTCACTGTAAATGCACAGCAGAACAGGGGCCTAGGTGAAGCTGTCTAATTAGGGTACTGCTTTTGGAAGAAAAAATAAAAGACACATTTGAAATAGCCCCCCCAAAGAAACAAGCTACACTTTTGTCACATTTATAGGAATCTCAAACTTTTTGTATCCCATGCTCATAGGTAGTTTGATGCACATGGAAAATAGCTTCAGTATCCAAGAAGAGCACTGCTGTCCTGCTGACGAAGGACAACTATCCCCTCACGCTTCTGATATCTCCGATTTGCTAAGTGCAATAGCAAGTTCCAGGTCCTCTTGTTCCTGCTGATTGAGTCTGGCAAGCCTCTGCTCTTCTTCTCTCTCACTCTCCCTCTTCGCCCACTCAATCATATCTTCTTCAGAGGGATACTGCCGTGTAAAAGACCAAAAGATGACTGAATGAGGAAGATAAACGAAGGCTTACAGAAGAGCTTTTATAAAAGAGCATTTACCTAGCGGACTCTGGGAATAGCATTACTTCCTCGTTTGTCTGAAAATATGTCTTACTACTTAGTGAGTTCTGGCTGAGTTTAAAAATTTAATGCAATCTTTGGGAAGTAAAGTCTATAAAAATACAATAACGTCTATGAGATAAAATGCTAAAAGTATCACTTTAAAAATTAGAAATTACAGGCATGGTGGCACATCCCTGCAATCCTAGCATATGGGAGCCTAAGGCAGGAGGACTTCAAATCAGAAGCCAATTTGGGACATATAGTGATATCCTATCTCAAAACAGGAGAAATGCTTAGGATAGACTAGGAGATTTAAAAACAGGCCCGGCGGTGGTGGCACATGCCTTTAATCCCAGCACTCGGGAGGCAGAGGCAGGCGGATCTCTATGAGTTCAAGGCTGGGCTGGACCAACAGCCTCCAAAACAATACAGAGAAACCCTGTCTCGTAAAAACCAAAAAAAAAAAATTAAATAAATAAATAAAAGCCAGGAGTGGTGTAGTCTTTCAATTCAATGTAAAATGCTTGCTATTTAAACTTTATTGATCACTTATCACATAGTGATACTTTTCCTTCCTTGCTTGCTTTTTTTTTTTTGAGCTCCATAGTATATTTTTTTTTCTCATTAAAGGTTCAAAACCAAAAGCGGTTTCTCTTTGCAGCAAATATACATTAAATAGAGTCTCTGTACAGCCAAGGGCTCTGGTCCCCTGGCTTGCCCCATGGCCCTGCGCCTCCCTGGCCAAACCCAAAAATAAATATAGTGTTATTGTTCTGCAGGGCATAGAGGCAGTGCTGTCCCCCCACCCCTCGAGGTGGGAGCTGATGGAGGGCCCTGGCCACCCCAGGGGTCCAGGGGCTGGAGCCTGCTTGGAGTTATTGCTTCAAGGGGGGGGGCACTAATGCCCAATGCGAATGAAGGGGAGCGAAGGGGACAGGGGCCTTTGCTTTCCACGCCCCCTCTGCTCTTGCTTTTTTTAAAGTTAGAATCTCACTAGATGGCTCAAGTTGGCCTCAAACTTGTGACCTTCCTGCCCGTGTCCTGAGTGGTGGAATTATAACCACATGGCAGCATGCATCAAGATGAATGCCACTGGTGATTGGTGATTGGATGCTGCCTTACTTGGCCTTTCAGGGAACTCCAAAATTATAAAGCAAAACCAGGCAAATTCTGCTATATATAAGAACATCAGACAGATTAACAGTTTGTGAAACAAATATTTTTTAGAAAACATTTTGAAGATTCTGATAATCTTTAAGAACTTTTAACCCAGTTTTTTTTTTTATAAAACCCAGTATATTCGTGTGTGTGTGTGTGTGTGTGCACGTGCAAGTGTATGTGTGGGAGGGGTATGGTTTAAGTAAAACCTTAATATTGATGATGATTGGAAAAATATTTGTCACTACAATCAAATTTCAACTTCAGTAGAAACTAGATACAAAAATCTACTTGGTTTCAGCCTTGACACATGAGAAGGCCCAAAAGAAGTGAAACAAAGTGGAAGGCTTTTGACAGCGTACATGTAACTCTTGGTATGCTTACCAAATCTCACACAATGAAAATGGAGGACTTCACTGTGAGTTACTTTGTGCTGTACTGTACTGAGATTCTGAGTATGAAATCAACAAAATACCTCCACTATTGTTCAAAACTCATTCCAACCAGGTTTTGACTTGCAGAACCATATTTAACATCCTGAACATTACAAACTGTCATGTTATTTTAGACCACGAATTACAATCTAAGAAGGCCAATTCTTAATTTTTCTTGAAACAACTCAAATTCCACCTGACATGGAAGATAATTCTGAGTTGCCATTTCTTTGAAATATTAAAAATAGGGACTTCTATCTTGTTTCTTTACACTTAGGAGATGGCCCGGGACCTAAGAGGACAAACTCAAAAGGTGAGTACTGCAACTACGTTAGTTGCATATGGATTCCTGCCTGTCCCTTTTCTAAGTACAAGAGTAGTAACAGGGATAAAATAACTAGTGAAAGGACCCAAATGGTACTCAGAGGAGGAAAACATTAGGCAAACTGTGGTCAGGGGCATTTGGCCACTCAGTCTTAAATCTCTAAAGTCAAGGATAAAAGTTGATAAATAGGGAAATTCCTCTTATAGAAAAGGCAGCGGTAATGAATGTCACTTTGCCTGAAAAGAAAAATCTGGGAAAATGAAACTTTGTTAGCTACTCTAAGAATTTCATTAAAAAAAAATCTGTTTTATCTTAGTAATGATGAAATATATGATGCATCCACAACTGGTTGCTACATTTCTACAATCATAAAGGCTTTGTCCAAGTTATTCTCATAACACGTCTCCAAGTTTCTTAAAGAATTCTCAGATCTTTTCTTTTTTTTTTCTTCCCCTAGACAGAATTTCTTTGTGTAGCTTTGTAGACCAGACTGGCCTTGAACTCACAGAGCTTCACCTGCCTCTGCCTCCCAAGAGGGCTGGGACTAAAAGTATGCACTGCCGCCACCGCCACCACCACCACCACCACCAGGCCAGAATTCTTAGATATTAACAACAGCTTATTTCATAAAACTGAAAAGGTTATCATGGTAGAGCACAAGCTTAGCATGAATGAGCAACTGGGTTCACAGATGGATAAAAAGAACCACAACAACAAACCCTGAATATACTGAGTAAAGAGTGTTGCTTTGTATTCAAAGAACTCCCAGCACTGTCTCTCACAGAAACTGTCAACCAGTCTCTAGAAACTGCTAAAGCTTTGTACACGAACACACATATATAGTTACAAATATACAAGCTTGTTACCGGCATTATACACAGTAGGCAGACAGCAAACTTTTAAATCACCATCATGTATAACAATTTGCCAAATACAACTGTCGAGACTTTACTTATATTTATATTACCAGGACTGAAAGACAGGTTTATAAAACAACTTGTTTAAAAGAACCAAGACAACTAAAATCAGCTGAACAATAGAATCACCTAAGAACCAGCAAAACAAATCCAAACAGATTTTGCTTGGGGGTGAATAAATAATTTTTAGTATGTTGGCAAACTGATGCAAGTTTGGAAGTCTATGAAGACATCTTTGACAACCCTTCAAACTATAAATGGAAAGATTCTCCCCCGAACAGCCCATTTACAGTACTTACAGCACTGAAGTTAGCAAAACTGCTTGGGTCAGCCTCTTTATTGGTAGTGGTAGTAGAAGTGAATGGATCACAAAACATATCAGGATCTTTGTCTTTGGGACTATCATTGCCTGGGAAAGGCTGAAATGGATCATTCAGTTTAAAGGGATCAGAAGAATCCAATTTGTTGATGGGTCTTTTCCCTGGATCAAAATCATTACAATTAACCAGTAGATACAGCAAACACAAGCACACAAGAACATGTTCACAGAGAGCGTTAAAGAACTGCAGGTGGTGGGCAGAGAACCCAGGCACATTCTCAACGTGGTTCTAAGTGTTCACATCAACTGTGCTCAAAGCTTTCACACTTCTCTCTCAGATACACTGCAGGTGCAGCTAAATGGACAAAGACCAAAACCAAAAAAGTAGAAATGAGCTAAGAATCATGATTTTGTTCAAAGATTGAGTCTTTCTCCATTTAAAGGAGCATGCTCCTAAGGAAGATAATGATAAGCAAGGAACACCGATAAAGAATAAACACAGGTTGGCCCCGACTGCTAGAGTCTTAGCCTCTCACTAGTGACAACAAAGATATTTGACTTTGAAGCGTGGCAAATTTCTTCTGTCTTTTCTCTAGTATATTTACACATACACAATGCCTAGCAGCATAAAATGTAAGATTAACTTGACAAAACCTCACTTATTTTTTTGCCATCTATAAAACTTCAAGCTGAGAATGAGCAACACTTAGAAGTCCATAGCCTTTATATATAGCTGCTGACAAGCTAAACTTTGACTAAATAACAGTATGCTACCCTGATAATTCATTATCAAAGCGAGTTTGTTTATTTATTTATTGGTTTTCTTGAGACAGGGTTTCTCTGTGTACCCCTGGATGTCCTGGAACTCGCTCTGTAGGCCAGGCTGGCCTTGAACTCAAAAATCCACTTGCCTCTGCCTCCTAAGTGCAAGGACTAAAGGCATGCACCATCATGCCCAGCTTTCTCTAATAGTAAAGTTTTAGTTAAAGTGCCACACTTCTTGAAAAAAAGAGAAATTTAAATTTCTTTATGTTCTTCCTATAGTGAGTGCAGTATGCTGGCAGTCATAATTAATTCCTTTCATAAACATACTTTACAAAAGATGCTTCTATCAAATATCACTCCACATGCCTTTGGAAAGTCCTGTGAAGGCAGGCAAGATCTGAGTAACAGCTACCATATAACAACTAAGACATTGAGGCTTAGACATGGGAAATAATATACTTAAGATCACAAAGTAATGGTTCCAATCGTAGCTTATGAAGCCCTAGTTTGCTCTACAGCTTCAGTAAAAAGATCCAAACAAACAAACAAACATCCCAAACAAAGGAAAACAAAACCAAGCTTGGGGTCAATACTAGCAGTTGGAATGTGGGTAGAAGTAGAAGGATGAAGAATTCAGTTTGAGGCCAGGCTGGGCTACATGGGGCACTATCAAAAAAATACATACATATATATTAAATACATATATATTTAATATACATACATGTATATTAAAAACCAAAACCCAAAAAACTAAGGGCTGGGAATATAACTCTCTGTGCTTATCTAGCATTTGTGAGACCTCAGGGTGGGGTGGGATTCAGAAACTGATGCTGGGGGTAAGCAGATTATAAATTTAAGGCCCCTAATCAGTGACCTTGTCGACAAACCATTCTTTCCTTTGCTCCTTCTACAATGATGCGCACCTGAATATTTTAAGCATTATTATTGTATATGCTGTACATATAGAGAATGAACATGTGTGCCACAGATGTTCTCAGAGCAATTTTATGGAGTCAGTTCTGTCTCTGAAACTTTACATGGATTCTGGGACTTGAACACACGTCACCAGCCAAATGCAGCAAGTACTTGTGCCCCATTAAGCCATCTATCTCACTAGCCTGATGGGGGATGTCCTTCTGTATGCTGCTAATATGTTTCTTTTATTGGACGATGAATAAAACACTAATTGGCCAGTAGCCAAGCTGGAAGTATAGGCGGGGCTACAAGACAAGGAGAATTCTGGGGAGAGGATGCAGAGAGGAGCCATCAGAGAGATGCCAGGCAGCCACCAGGAAGATAGGTCGCTGAGCATTCTTTGGTGAGCCAAGACCATGTGGAAATACTTAGACTAATAGAAATTGGTTAATAATTAAGAGAGAACTAGCCAATAAGAAGCCTGAGCCATCGGCCAGTTTATAATTAATATAAGTCTCTGTGTGTTTATTTGGAACTAAAGGGTGGCGGGACCAGGCAGAACACTAGCCTGTTCTCACTATTAAGGCATTTGAGTTTTAAAAGTATACTCACATGGGTACAAAAGAGTAAATGAACAAAATATTATTCTAAAAATATAGACTCTGATCACTTCTAACAATGTATGATACAGGTGGCTTTCCTTAAAAGATGAAAACCACTTAACTCATTTATCTAAGTTTTGAACAGATATTTACACATTAGCAACTACATGTGCAATCTGTATCAAATACCATGGGGAAGATATTATGAAAAGGCAGAATGATTATCTAACAAAAATAAAAGTGTGATCATCTAACTTTTGGGGCTGAAACGTTACCCAGGAATGACCTAGGGATAAAAAACTGTGCCTATCTCGAAAAAACCAAACCCAAACAAAACAAAACAACAACAACAAAAAAGACAACAACAACAAAAAAAACCCTAACAACATTCTGTGTCCTCTCACAGAGCAGCTACCCATATGCAGGGGGATTGCCTTCATGGATACCTTATTCTGCATTAAAAACAACCCTTTCCTTGGTGTAGTGCTACATACCACACAGACTAAACAAAACAAAATAAAAAAATACAGCTACAATCTGTTCCTAGACTACACAAAGAATTTTAAAATCAGACATTTAGAGCCAGGTGTGATGGTGTACACCTTTAAACCTAGCACTCAAGTGGCAGAGGCAGGTGGATCTTCAAAAGTTCTAAGTTCAAGGCCAGCCTAGTCTACATAACAAGTTCCAGGCCAGCCAAGGCTACTTAGTCAGATCCTACCTCAAATAAAACAAAACAAATTCTATTATAAACTAAAAGAGTTTTGCGCCAGGTAGTGGTGGCGCACGCCTTTAATCCCAGCACTCGGGAGGCAGAGGCAGGCAGATCTTTGTGAGTTCGAGGCCGGGCTGGACAGCCTCCAAAACAATACAGAGAAACCCTGTCTCGTAAAACCAAAAATATATATATATATATCTGAACTAAAAGTTTTAAAAGGCAAACAGTTCTTTTTTTAAACCACTTTTGCCAGCTCCATCCATGCCTTTTTCAAAAAAACAAAACAAAACAAAACAAAAAAAAGTAAAGGATTTACGGAGACTTTAGTTTTCTCTTAAGAAAATTAATTTAAAAACCAGAGTATAGGAAACTGCTATTCAAATGATAATCAATGATTTCCAAAAAACAAAACCAAACCAATGAGATTTTGCCCACACTTTTTCTGAAATGGGGAGCGGGAGGAACATATGGCCAGCTGGAAGAGGTCAGCAGCAAGTTTTTGCTAAGTGCTTGGCTCTTGCTTATGGACCTTTAATACACAACAATGAAAGGCCCACACTATACTTTCTAGAGAGGGAAAAGGCATAAAGTTGAACTAGGAAAGGCCCCAACTCTCATACCAGGGGGTGGCGGGCAGGGTCTTGTTGGAGTTCCAATCTTGGGCGGCAGTGCTGGAGGCACATCCTCACTCTTGGTGGATGTTTCCTCTAACACAGTTTTTGGAATGACCACATTGCTGGCAGAACTTGATACGGCAGGATTAAAAGGATCTTCATCGTTGACCTTTGTTCAAAGAGAAACATTTATACAGTTTGATATACATATGGTCATATTGTTCATGTGAATGATTTAAGTATCAGTAGTGTTATTTCAATTCCCAGAAGTAACATTTTACCCTTTACATTGAAAAACAAATAGGACTAAAACTGATCTGTATGAGTAGGCATTTTCATAGCATTACTTATTAAGAGCAACAGACATTCAAACAAGGTAACTCTAGATTGAAGACTTATTAGTAAATAAACATTAAGCAATACAAAACTTCTTGAGGTCCCAATAGACTGTCTGAGCTGAAAGATAATGCAACAAGAGGAATGGTTGATTCTGTGCTTCTCAGTGTACTTAAATATAGGAGAGACGATAAATGTTAGAGAAAATAGCTTCTAGAAAAACTATAAAGACAATCTAAGAGTCACTTTTTTAAAAAGAAAACTGATCCCATGAAACATTAAGTCTTAATGTGAATCTGAAAACTCTGACTTTCAAATATATGGGGATTATGAAAGATTGGCTTTACTGTAACAAATCAGATTATGATTTATTTAGGCGAATGCTTTACTTGTTTTTTTCTTTCCATTTTGGTTTTTTGAGATGGGTTTTTCCATGTAGCCCTGGAACTTTTCCATGTCCTAAAACTTGCTCTGTAGACCAGGCTTGCCTCTCTGCCTCCTGAGTGCTAGGATTAAGGCATGGGCCACCACCACTGGACTACGCCAGTGTTTTTCAACACCTGCACAACTAACTTTTAGGGATGGAATAACTACATTCAGGGGGTGGAAGTGGTGTCTCTGCAGTGTACCGAAGGATGAACTCATTAGATATGAGCACCATCTTCCACCTAGTTTTGAGAACCACAAATGTCTCTGGATACTGCCAAATGTTCCCTGGGGACAAACAATTTAGCATATCTTCAAATCCGGTCAAAGCCTAAATCAATACTACAGCTATGCTGGACAATAGAGTGGAGAGTTTAAGCACTTTTAACTTGGTACAGACCCTAATAACTTCAAAGGATAAAATCAATCAGTCACTAGACAGGGGATGGGATGAATGCTATGGCCATTGGCCCAGACAGTACACAGGGAAAAAATGTAATTCCACTGCAAAGAAACACTAAACAGACAGACAACTCTATTATGACACTGAGTAGATCTTTCAGAAGAGAAAGTAGCCACCTATACTACTGCCTCCTATGTATAGAAATTGGACTACTCTGCAACCCATCTGTAATACCCATCTGAAATCAGTCCTGCTATGGACTGACTGCAGTCACATCCAGGTTTGTGAGAGTGTTCTAACTGTAAGGAGGACACTCATTTGATGGAACATGACGTATTGTTCTGTCCTATTAATCACGACAGATTACCTTTGACAATGTGCTGAAGTCAGCAAATCCATCTCCAAATGATTCATTTCCAAAAACAGAAGCAAAAGGGTCTGTGGCTAAAAGGAGTAAAGAAAATCAGTGTAAGACACCATATTTCATGTCCTTTTTTTTCTGTTCATAACATTCAGAAAAATAATTCCTAAATTTCTATACAGACCAGGTAGCCACTGGAAATCTAATATGGTATATTCCTTTGTATAAATCAGCAGTAAGTGACCCAAGAGCAAACCTAGGTGCTACTTGAAGGTGAGGACCTAAGTTTAGTTCCCAGCACCCACAGTGGGAGGCTCACAACTGCCTGTAATTCCAGCTCCAGGGGGTCCAATGCTGTCTTCTGGCCTCCATGGGTATCTATACTCACATGCACATACCTACACATAGACAAATAGTTAAAAAAAAAAAACTTAAAGAAAAAGTTCCCCAAATAGTAGCTTCTTATCAAAGAATTCTAAGATGAACTCTCCCTCAACTCTACACCCCAAGCTCAACCTCACATAGTTGATATGGAATGTCCTTTTGTATGGGGTCAATATGAGCTGCTTTTATTGGTTAATGAATAAAGCTGATTTGACCAATAGCCAGGCAGAAAATAGCTGGGTGGGAAATCCAAACAGAGTTACAGGTGAGAAAGAAGGTGGAGTTGGGGAGAGGTCATGTAGCCAATAAAGGGGTGAGATGCCAGAAAATTACTGGTAAGCGATGGCCACGTGGTGATACACAAATTAGTAAAAACGGGTTAATTTAATTGTGAGAGCTACTCAGTAATATGCCTGAGCCACTGGCCAAACAATTAAGTCTCAGAATGATTATATAATAAGCGGCTGTGGGAACTGGCGGGACAGAGAAAAGCTTCCAACTACACATAGTTTTCAAGAGATTCTCTCTCTGGCATCAAAACTAATCTCATCTAAAGTAGAAAAATAATGCTTACAAGTGAAAACAGTACATAGAAACAGGTCCTGGATTGGCTTTTCCTTAATACTTTTCTTCCAGAGTGTGCAGTGTCTACCCACCAGGAGCAAGCACTGAATAGACTCACACACTTAATGTACTTTCATTACTATCATAACGGTTTTCTAACTAATATAAATTATATATGTATAATAAGTATAAATTTACTCACTTTAAAAATTGATTTTGAAAGCCCACAATTCCAAATGCTATTAATTCCCAACACTGGAGTAACTTGTTTATTCCATATCTGCTTTTTATTACTTGCTCTTCCTACTCATACTGGGGGTTAGTATTCAATCTCCTGAAATTCAGTCATGCTGAATCTTACATAAGAGATCTAATTTGTTAAGGTATCTGTATTAATCTCCTCTCTATCATAAAAATACTTGGTCACATCAACCACCTGGAAAAATAGCATATCCTACTATCCACATGACATTAAAGCATTCAAGTTTGAATTTCCAGTGCTCTAAGCAGTCACTAGGTTACTCATGTGTCTATTTTTAATGAAGAGTGGAAACATGACAGTTACTTAGTTGAAAATGTTTTAATATTTCATAAGACCTAGGACTGAATCCTGGTTTACCATCTCATATACTGTGTAACCTTGATCAACTTAGTTTCTGGCACTTAGATTTTCTCTGTATTTTAACAGAACCTCTTATTATTAAAAACAATTTTCATTACTCATTTGAAGTAATTCCCTTTTAACTTAGGCCAAGATCTTTAAGAGTAAATACCAAACAATACTTTATAGGGTTAAGAGAAAGAGGCACTTACAAGAAAGTAAAATATAATGGTGAATATTGGTGTGTGCCTCTAACTTATTTTATGTATTATGAGTGGTTTGCCTGCATGTACTCATGTATATCATATGTGCACCTGGTGTCCCTGGAGGTCAGTAAAGGGCACTGGATTCTCTGGACCTTGAAATAAGGACTGTTGTATAAGTTGCAACATAGGTTCTGGACTTGAATGTGGGTTTTTGCAAGAGCAGCAAATGTTCTTAACTGCTGAGCCATCTCCCCAGCCCTCCCACCCCCACCTCTTTCTCTCTCCCCAAAACAACAACAACAACAAAAGGTTCTTATTTTGTAGTCCAGCTAGTCTGGAATTCACTATGTAGTACATATTCTGTAGCTCAGTCTAGTCATGAACTTATAGAACTCTTACCTCATCCTCCTAAGAACTAGAATTTTAAGGTGTTATCATCGCACCCAGCTAATTTTTAATCATTTTTTTCTTCCTTCTATTTGTGTGCACCTGTGTGTACATGTGCATATGTGTGGTTTGGGCACATGACTGTTTATGGCAATGTCAGGGCAGAACATTGGATGTTCTCCTTTACTGCTCCCTACCTTTAGCCTTAAGACAAGGAGTCTAATCTTACTGAACACGAAGCTTGTCATCTTGAACAGGTTTGTTGGTCAGTAAGCAAGTGAGCTGTCGGGATCTACCTGTCTCTCCTCCCTGATGCTGAGGTTATAGGCAAATGCAGCCATATCTAGCTTTTTATGTAAGTGCTGGGGATTCAAACTCAGACTCGAATGCTTGCACAGTAAGTACTCTTACCCACTAATCCTTATCTTTCCAGTCCAACACTACATTGTATAAAGCAAAAGCTTCTTATTGGTTTTACTGACACTGAACATAGTGCATAGTCTAAAAAAAACCTTTAGGGTAAATGATAAACATGATAAGAAGAGTAAAAAGTGCTACACAAATACTTGTTGCTGTTAGTATTGTGCTATAAATGGAAATAAATACACATCAATTTAAAAGTCATAATAGGGCAAACATGTTTAGAGAAGAAAATCTTAAAGAAAAGGCAACAATTAACACTAATAAAACTGACAAAGTCTTTACCTGAATCACTAGCTGCAACAACAACTGTTCCACCAGGAGCAAATGGGTCATTGTGCTTCCAAATTTCTATCTAAAGAAATGGTACAAATCTATGACTGAGAGGCCACATTTCATAGCTGGAACTTCACTGTAAAACCTAAGAAAAATACTTTACAAAATTTTGGATTAGAAAATACAAACGTCTGGAACAGAGCTTTCCCTTTCCTTATATATGGACTCAATGAATGAAAACACTTTAGGATTGCAAAGTATTTATTTTAAAGTATGAAGTACCTGTATAATTTAACAATACTCAGTAGGCTTCAGGTGTCTCTCACAAGCCATAATCCCAAGCCCTCTTCTGCAGAGGTCACTTTTTGGTAGTACTGGGACTGACCCTAGAGCTCACGTATGCTAACTAAGTGCTCTGCCACTGAGCTATATGTATTCCCCAGCCCTGCAGAGGTGATTAGTATCCTGGCTTTGATGGTATTCATTTTTATAAGTGCATACATGAACTTTAGTGCGAAATGACTTAGACTTACAGAAGAGTTGTATAGACAGTGCGAAGTTCCCATATACAATTCCATGATTTCATGGAATCATGGTCTACCTACTAAAATTAAGGACTTGAGACCAGTAACAAAAACACAAGTTACAGTTACAGGCTTTATTTAGACTTCAACAACTTTTTCACTACTGTCCTCCTTTTACTTCAAATATTACAATTTTTTAACTACTGTTTAATAATAATTCTAGGAGGGAATGGTGCCGAAGGTCTTTAATCCCAGCACATGGGAGGCAGAGGCAGAAGGACCTCTGTGAATCTGAGGCCAGGTTGGTCTACACAGTGAGCTACAGGACAGCCAGGACTAGATAGAGACACTGTATCATAAAACAAAACAAAAATCTAAAACCCCTCCCTTCAGAGGAACACACACATACAACAAGGAGGGGAGGAAGAAGTAATGCCTTATGGATGTAGTTTTTGTTCTATTCTTCATTAAACAGTGCAACCACTCAAACACAAATGAGACAGAGTGTACAGGCAAGAGAAGAACAGTGGTTATGCTGGGCATGGCAGCATTCAGGAGGAAGAAGCAAACAGGTCTCTGTATATTCAAGGTTAGCCTGGTCTACAAACTAAGTTCCAGGTCAGTCAAGGCTGTTACATAGAGAAACCTGTCTCAAACAAAACGTACATGCCTGACTGCCATGGTGGCAGATGCCAGGTTATTCCAGCACCTGGAAGGTACAGGCCAGAAGATCTAGTTTAAAGCCAGCTTCAACTATATAGTAAGTTCAAGGCCAGTCTGGGCTATAGGAAACACTGTCTTATAAAAAAAAACAAACAAGCAAACACACACCACTACCAAGAACAACAACCCCCCCAAAAACAAACAAACAAACAAAACCAGTTATCACAAAATTCTCCTTAGGCTATGTTCAATTTGATAATTAGGAAATTTAGCATGCAAAATAATTTTACTTATTTGCTAATTTATTTTTATTTGTATGTTGTATGTGGACCCACACTGAGTTTGTGGGGCCAAATGTGTAGATGTTAGAGGGTGCCAGGTTCCTTGGAACTGGAGTTACAGGTATTCCCAGTGTTGAGTGCTGGGAATTGAACCCATGTCCTTAAGAAGAACAGTAAGTTGCTCTAACTGCTGAGCCATGTCTTCTGGCACCCAAAAGTAATTTTCATAACTCAGTTTCATATGGTAGAATTTTATAGAAATTAATGTTTTGAAACCCTTTCAAATCACCTAATTATTATTCAAATTCTCTAGTACATCAGTTATTCACTCCTTACCAGACTATATGATTAGTGACTGCATAATGCTACTAAGTGCAGAGATTTTGTCTTATTTAAATTAATTCCATCAGAGAGCAGGAGGCATTCTTGAAGAACTGGAAAAGACTTTTGGGGAGAGATTCTTATCTTCAAGTAAAATAAGTACTATAGGCCAGTAAGTACGCCTTTAAACCAAGCATTAAGGAGGCAGAGGCAGGGGGATCCCTGTGAGTTCAAGGCCAGCCTGGTCTACAGAGAGAGTTCAGGACAGTCACAGCTACACAGAGAAACTCTGTCTCGGAAAGAAAGAAAAAGTACTATTAATCTAACCTCTGTTATCCTCCCTTATATTACATTATTTTTCTTTTCATATTTCTTATCTCACAATGCCCAGGATGGCCGGCCTCAAACTCACTAACAGCTGAGGATGACCTTGAACTCCCAAACCTCTTATCCACCTCCTAAGTTTTGGAATTACAGGCCTGTACCACCACATCTGGCTCACAATTCTTTTAAGGAAGCAATCTTAACCTAAGAGTTACACACAACAAAGTAGCTGCGTGAAATGCCTGCCAATTAATTGTGCTTCTCTAGGTCCAGTTTACTTACAGAAAAGAGACTGCTGCCTCAAAGTCTCCAAATAAAAAAAAACAATCAAAATATTTCATTCTGTTACTCTATTTTGAGTATCCCTAAATATCCAGAGTATAATTTTCAAAAATGTACTTTTATTTTTTGTGCTGCATGTATGTGTACCTACTGTGTGTGTGTGTGTTTGTGCATGTGCGCATGCTGGCCTGGTGCTTGTGGAGGCCACAAGAGGGAGTTACAGACAACTGTGAGCCTTTGGTGGATGTGTGGAGCTGAACTGAAGTTGGCTACCTGCTGAGCCATTTCCTCAGCTCCTATATAAATATATTTTTAAAGCTTTCAAACACAAATACATGGGACATATTAAAGTAACATGATTAAAAAAAATATATGTTTGTTTTTGGTGTTTTGAGACAAGGTTTCTCTGTGTAGCTCTGGTTTTCTCTTTGTAGATTAGGCTGGCCTCAAACTCAAGAGATTTGCCTGCCTCCTCTGCCTCCCCAGTGCTGGGATTAAAGGCGTGTGCCGCCACCACCCAGACATAAATGGCTGGAGAGATGGCTCAGCCATCACAGGCTAGGCTCACAACCAAAAATGTCTACATGTTTATAGCAGAGGTATCAACATCTGCCTTGTAAAGTGAAACTGAAGATGAGAGACAATGACTCTACAGCATAGAGGCTTGGATCATCGACTGTGGCTACTAAACAGGTTGCAGACATGTACTCAAGAAAGCTTGACATTCAATGGGAATTTATACTTTCCAAGATTAACATTCGAGGTATAACTATAAAATAGCATGAATTATTTTATTGCTCTAAAATATTAATGGTTTCCGTTTAAGTACAGACATTTACAAAAAGTTTTACTTAAGACAGGCTTTTGAATTTCCCGTCACTTACATTTAATATCACCAATGGGATAAGGATGGACTTCATTTTTGGACACTGTAAATCATCCTAGTGTCAAGTGGGTGTTCAAAGTATGAAATATTACATTAGACAAAAACCTGGATGGGTGGGAGCCAGACAAATTCCATATGGACCATTAAGAACAATCAAAAGGCAGATTCTACCGCTATATATTCAAGAGATTTCCTTAGGGTACTTGTTTATCCATGGGAACAGGTTTTAACCCTGAACTTACCGATGTATTACTGCTGTTGCTGGAGGCACTGAAAGGGTCAGTACCTGCAGTGGTAAAAGGGTCAGCAGAAGACTGCTTAAAGAAGCAGTCAGATGCAAACGGATCTGAACCTTTAAAAGGATCGCCACCAAAGGGATCTGAAGACAAAAAAAGGAACAAATGTAAAAAGCTAAAAACTTAACATAATTCCCTATTTCCTATAAGCATATCACGACACCTCAATTAAAACACTTTGAAGCATTCCCTGTGAGCCACTGTGACGTAGGGCTGGGTCTGTCCACCATTCAGATTCAAAAAATCAAAACCATTTTCTTTTCTGAGACTGGGTTTCTCTGTGGCTTTGGAGCCTATCCTGGCACTAGCTCTGTAGACCAGGCTGGTCTTGAACTCACAGAGATTCACCTTCCTCTGGCTCCCGAGTGCTGGGATCAAAGGCATGCACTACCACCGCCCGTCCCTTTTGGGTACTGGCCGGAGTCTAAATATGCATCTTCTGGTACTCTTCTAAAGCTCCTGGCCGCACAGGGTAGCTGCTTGTCTGCCACATGGCTGACCTCCATGCCAGCTTAATGTCAACACTGCTTTTCCCTCTCTTCACCATTCCCTTCCTCTAAGCAACAGCTGAGATTTAAAACTGTCCTTTTTGATTAGACTCTGCTTGATTTTCAAAAACTCAAGTCACTTGAACTTCACAGAACCCCAAGTTCCCTTTTTATTTCAGATTCGATTGTACTTTTGAGGAAAGAGCTTTCCAGGTACTAAACTTTTTGGTTAGCATGTAATTTTAAGGGATCTGATCTTAAGTCCTGTTGTCCAATGCTTACAAAAGAAACAACAAAAAAAGTTAAATATATTTCTTTCTTGAGCTCAAGTCTAAAACACCTCGATACACATTTGGGAAGCAAAACTAAATAGGAAACAGGATTTCCTTTGTTCTAGTGAAAAATCTCAAAAAACAATTATTTCAAATTTAGTAATCCTTCAATTCCCCCTATTCACATGAACAGTCTAAAATCGTAGAATAGTAAAATAAAATTATATTCTAGCCCTGCAGTCTTGTAGTAGTGTACGGACTCATACTAGATTTAGCTCTTAGCTAATGTGAAGAAATTAGAATCTATTCCTTCTAAAGTTTCAATATGTGTATGTGTACAAGTGCAGTGCTTACAGAGATCACAGGTACTGGCTTCCCTCAGCTAGAGTTACAGGAAGTTGTAAGCCACCCTCATGGTGTTGGTAACCAAACTCTGGGCCTCTGTAAGAGCAGGACACAGTCCTAACCACTGAGCCATCTTGTCAACCCCATCACCAATGTTACTTTTATCCAACATTTTGATTATTACTTTTTTTAAAAAAGCAAGGCTTGGGCTGGAGGTGTAGTAGAGTACTTGCCTAGCGTGCACAAAGCCCCAGGTTTAATTCCAACACAATACACACACACACACACAAACACACACACACAATTTCTTGAGCAAACTCACAAGGCTTTAATCACTCTCTAAAAATGCCAGACTATTTTAGTATCTTACCTTGGCTTTAGAGCAGATTTAAAAATAAAAAGCAGTTCCTCTCCTAGAACTACCCAAGTTGTATGTTCTCACTTCTAAATACAATATAAGGTTATAATTAAGAAGAATAGAATTAAAGTTAAAAACTAACTACAAAATATACTGACCAATTTTTCCAAAAGGATCATCCTTGAAAGGATCACCTGTAATAAAAGAAGTAAACAAAAATTAAAATACAGCCAGTTACTGGTGGCAAACGCTTTTAATCCAGCACTTGGGAGGCAGAGACAGGTGGATCTCTGTGAGTATGAGGACAGACTGGCCTACAGAGCTAGCTCCCGGACAGACAAGGCTATACAGAGAAACTCTGTTTCCAAAAAGCAAGAAAACAAAACCCATTATGTATTATTGTGAAAAGGGTTACATTTAAAACAAAAAGCAAGCTTCCTTAAGTTAAACAGTAACTTAATAGTTTCAATACTTCTACTTCAAAGTAACTGAAATTATGTTATTCACCTTAGGAAAGATTAAAAATAATAAAAAAGTAAATGATAAACTCAACATACTTCATGAAAAGGCAAATTAGAACTATTATGGTTTGAATAAGAAAATATCCCCATAGTCTCTAGCATTTGGTCACCTGGTTCCCAGTTGGTGATACTGGGGAGGTTTAGGCTAGATGTAGCCTTGTTGGAGATGTGTGCCACAGCAGGCAGGTCTCTGAGAGTTCTATGAAGCTTTCTGCTCATACTCTGGCTGCCATGACAGAGCTAACTCTCTGTAACTGTAAATAAACTCTTTCGTCCATAAGCTGCTTTGGGCATGGTGTTTTATCACAGCAACAGAAGAGTAAATAAAGTAAGAACCAAAGATACTTACCCTTGACTGTAAGAGGTTACAGGGGAAGAGAGACATAAAAGTAAAATTTACCAACAATCTCTACTCCTCATAAGAGTATTGAGTAGATGTTACCCTCAGTACTTCATGAAATAAAGGAACAACTAAGGTAAAACAACGACAAAACACACACACACACACACACACACACACACACACACACACACACACACACACACACACACACTCATAAACTGAAGAAGCCAGAGGCAAACTCTCATACTATGGCCACTTGAATTTTGACAAGACCAAGAGTATCAAGAATACATGTCAAGGAAAGGGTGAAAGGATAGTCTTTTCAACAAATGGTATTTGGGGGCCGAGGATGTAGCTAGATGAGCTGAGTTCTTTCCTGGTAGACATAAGCCCTGAGATCCATCCCCAGAACCCATTACATCTGATGTGATGGTATACATCAAATCCCAGCATTTGGATGTGGAGGCAGAAGGATCAGAAGGACAATCTTGGTTATATAGTGTCTGAGGCAAGCCTAGACTACAGGATTCTGTCTCAAAAACAAAAATGTATTTGGACACAAGATCATACCAGATATAGAATTAACTAAACCAAAGCATTATATGTTCGTTCTCTCTCTCTCTCTCTCTCTCTCTCTCTCTCTCTCTCTCTCTCTCTCTCTCTCTCTCTCTCTCTCTCTCTCTCTCCCCCCTCTCTGCGCATGTGCGTGCATATGAGCACACATATATGCAGGTGCTCACCAAAGCTAGAGGGCCTCAGATTCCTGGAAAGGAGTTACAGGCAATATGAACTGCCTGATGTAGGTGATGGGCACTAAATCCAGGTCCTCTGGGAGAGCAGCAAGTGTTCTTAGTCGCTAAGCCACCCCTCCAGTCCCAAAGCTCTAGATTCAACAGCTAGGACTATAAAATAGTTCTTGGAAGAAAACCAAGAGCATAAACGCTCATGCCTATAATCAACACTCAGGAGGATGATGCAGGAAGAGGACTGCCACTAGTTTAAGGCAGCCTGGGCTACATAATGAGAACCTGTCTCTATAAAAACCTAAACACACATAAAATTAATAAAGTATTTTCAAATCATGTCAGAGAGTTTTACTTGCAACATGTAAAATGCTCTTACAAGTCAACAACAAAGACAAATGGGACTGGAGAGATGGCTTGGCATTTAAGAGAAATTTCTAGCACCAAAATTGGGCACCTTACAATTGCCTGCAACTCCAGCTCCAGAGGGACCCAATGCCTCTGGCCTCTGTACTCATGTTCACATACCCACACATTAATTAGGAAAAAGACCATCTAAGTGCAAAGGAGAAAAAATGAGTGCTGTTCAACATTGACATACATATATTTGCAGCCTGATCTACAAAGAGAGTTCCAGGACAGCTATGTGGCTATGTGGAGAAACCCTATCTTGAAAAACCAAAGGGGAAGGGGGGAGCAAAAAGACATACATGTTTTTATGTGGGGTGTACATTCATTCCTCCTGGATACATATCAGGTCATACAGCAACTCTGTTTAATTATTGGAATAGAAACTGCCAGACCATTTTCCAAAGACAGAAAACCATTTCATATTCACACCAGTAGTGTATGGTGTTTGTAATTTCTACATATCCTAACTGACATTTGTTATCATCCGCCTTTTGATTACAGCCATCCTAGTACGCATGAAGTGGTATCTCATTGGGGATTTGACTAATGTTGAAAATCTTTCTATATGCTTACTGGTAATTTGTATATATATATCTTGGAGAAATAGTTATTTAAATAATTATGCTCATTTTAAAATTAGATTGGGGTTGAGATATGGAAAAGTGCTAAACTGTTCCAAAATTAGACTGTGGTGATGATTATCATGTGAATGTTCTGAATCTATGACTGATTGACTGGTCTGCAGTTCTAAGGATCAAGCCATGTCATTAAGCCTGCTGGACAAGCAGTCAACTACTGAGCCACAACCTCAGCTCTATATATTTTAAGTGCAAAACTTATGTTTATTTTGGTGTCTTATACATTTCAAAAAATTGTTTTGTGCTTATTTTAGAGTCTGTTTATTTAAAGAGTTCAAATATTTGGGCTCATTTCTGCCATGATTATTGGGTAAGTTATTTTGCCTGTGTGCAAAATGTCTTGTTCTTTTGTTTGTATAAACTTTAAGGTGTATAAGTTCTTTGCCTGATGTCTATGCACCATGCGCATGCCTGGTACCAGTGGGTATCAGATCCTCTGCAACTGGAGTTAGGATGGCTGTGAGCTGCCATGTTGGTGCCGGGAACTGAATTCAGGTCCTCTACAAGAACAGCAAGTGTTCTTCATCTCTGAGCCTTCTCTCCAGCCCCTTGTTTGTTTGAACCTAGGTCTCACTATATAGCCCAGGCTGGAACTACCTATGTAGAACAGACTGGCCTCAAATCTACGGGATCCTCCCACCTCTGCTTATCAAGTGCTGGAATTACAAGCATCCACCATATGACACCAAGCTCACTTTCACAAGATAGTTCTAGAAATAAAATTCAAAAGACCTTTGACACAAGGAATATTTAACATAGTTTACATTGTCACAATATATTTAAATTTAGGTAGAGTTATATTTTAATTCATTTTTTTAACTTTATTTTATTTGAGTCAGAGTATCTTTGTGTAGCCCTATCTTGGAACACAACTCTGTAGACCAGGCTGTCTTCAAACTCACAGAGATCCACCTGCCTCTACCTCCCAAATGCTGGGATTAAAGGAGTTCCTCCCATCATGCCTGGCCAGAGTTACGTTTATAAAATTAGAAATATCTTAAGATATGGGAATCAGACACTTAATCCTACTATAGTTTCCACTGTCATTTTAGTTTAGTTTTGTTTTTCAGATAATAGTCTCTCTGTGTAGCCCTGACTACATAAACTAGACTGGCTTTGAACTCAAGAGATTCATCTACCTCTGCCTCTTGAGTACTAGGACTAAAAGTTTGTGTCACCACACTGGGAGCTTCTAAATATCAAAACTACAGTGTTCCCTTTCTCCTTTTTCTTTTTCTCCTTCCTTCCTCCTCTTTTTTTTTTTTTTAAGTTTCCTGAAGCAGTTTTGTTCTGTAGCCCAGGCTAAACTCAAATTTGTAATGTGCTGGGATTACAGCAGTGTGATTCCATGATTGGCCTGCTGTTGACAATTTTGGTAATTATTAGCTAAATAATGTAAGTCATGAGCGTGCAATCTCTATCATCGGACTATAATATATCTTTCTTGTGGAGTCTACACTGAAGAAGAAGCATTCTCTCAGTCAGAAAATTCTACAGTATAATGCAGAGGCTAAATACTAGCAAATAAAAGGATAGAAACCCTATTTTCAGTTATACTCATGGTGTAAAACATATGCTTTCAAAACTGAAGCCTCTACGTTTATATAGTTTGTATATCAGAAAGTGTTATATATTTACAAAAGAAAGATACTTACTGCCAACAAAAGGATCAGACTGGAAAAAATCCAAGTTTGCATCTACAACTGGATCTGTCAGTGAACTTGATTCTACATTAAATGGATCTTCCTAGAAATAATTTTTAATGAAAACAGATAATTTAGTAACCAAACATTTAAAAGAAATACTTCAAATGACCCACATTCAGATCATATACAAACTTTGAAAAATCAGTTAATATTCTTGCAGCTACAAAGAACATTTAAGACAAGTGACAAGAACAATTGAATGTATAATTATCTTCACCTCTTTTGAATGCTTGTCATCATCAAATGTGAGACTAACTTTTTCATTATCAGCTGCAGTCACAACTTCGTTTTCATCAGTCACATCAGAGGGTGCTATTTCAGGACTACTTCTCACCTACCAAAAATACATTATGTGAGTATAAAGGATTAAAAATCTTTTGTCTCAGGCTGGTGAGGTGGCTCAGTGGATAAAGGTACTTGCTGCTAAGCCCAACAACCTGAGTTCAATCTCCAGGACTAATTCCTGCTAGTTTTCTTCTGAATTCCACAAGAACACTGTGGCATGTCAATATCCACCCACCCATAATTGGGTCAGATTATTTTAATAACTTTTTTTTTTTGAGAAAGAGAGACAGGGTCTTATTGTATAGTCTGACCTAGAATTCACTATGTAAACCAGACTAACCTCAAACTCATAAAGGCTCACTCTGTTTCCTGAGTTCTGGGATTTAAAGGTGTGCACCACCACACCTAGCTAAAAAAATTTTTTTAAACTGTATTTATATGCACAGGTGTTTTAAAAATTATTTCGGTATTGGGAATCAAATCCAGGGCCTCTTGCAGGATATGAAAACTATTTGCCACTGTGCTATATGCCTAGTCCCTTAAACACCTTTTTATATCTAATACTAAGTGGTTAGTTCTGAACACATACAAGGAACATTATCGGGACTGAGCAGATGGTATTTACATATTTAGAAATATATAAATAATAATTAGGTAAATAATGCTTGGTGCACAAGCATAAATAACTAACTCAGTTCAGGTTTGGAGCACGCAAGTAAAAGTCAGGCATGGTGGTGTGTAACTGTAGCTCCAATGCTGGGGTGACAGAGTCAGGTAGACACCCCTGAATGGCTAAAACAGCAAGCTCTATTTTCAGTGAGCAGACCCTGTCTCAAAATTAAGGTATAGGGCTGGAGAGATGGCTCGGAGGTTAAGGGCACTGGCTGCTTGCTCTTCCAGAGGTCCTGAGTTCAATTCCCAGCAACCACATAGTGTCTCACAACCACCTGAGCAGAACACTGTAACATAATAAATAAATTAAAAAAAATTAAGGTATAGAGTGGCATCAGAAGACCAAACTTGAACTCTGGTCTCTACACTTACACATATGGATGAGTGCAACCACAGGTAAGCACATTACTAGACACCACCATCCCCAGACATATCAAATTAAAAAAGAACTTTTTTATTGCTTTTTTGAGACAGGGTTTCTCTGTGTCTTTGGAGGCTGTCCTGGAAATAGCTCTTGTAGACCAGGCTGGTTTCGAACTCACGGAGATCCACCTTCCTCTGCCTCCTGAGTGCTGGGATTAAAGGCATGCGCCACCACACCTATTAAAAAGAACTTAACGCCATCCTTGGCTACATATTAAGTTTGAGGCTGGACGAGCTATACAACACCCTATTATTTAAAAAAAATAATTTTATTAGAGTAATTTGAACATTAAAACTCAGAAGAAGCTGGGCGTGGTGGCATACACTTTTAGTCCTAGCACTTGAGAGACAGAGACACGTGGATCCCTGAGCTGGAGGCCAGCCAGGGTTAAATAGAGTCTCAAAAAACAAAATAAAACAAACAAAAGAAAGAAACAAGAAAAATAAAAGTAAAAGCGTTTCAATGGATGGGGCTGAGATGACAGCTCAAGAACATTAGCTGTTCTTCCAAAGGAGTCAAGTTCGATTCCCAACACCCACGTCAGGCAGCTCAAATTGCCTGCTATCTCTAGCTCCAGGGGATCTGACACCCTCTTCTGGCTTTTGTGGGCACCTGAGCATGCAATACATCTTAAAAACTGTCTTTCTTTATATTATACATAATGCTAACGAAACTTTGATCTGGGGCTAGGGATATATCCTATTTGATAAAGTGCTTGCTGCTCAAGCATGAGGACCTGCAGACCCCCAGCACCCATGCAATAAGCCAAGCATGGTGTAATCCCAAGACAGGGGAGGTGTGGACAGACAGATAGCTAGAGCTTGCTGCCCAGGCAGCCTACTCTAATCAGTGAGCCTCAGATCTCAGTGAGACCCCACATCAAAAAAAGGTACACAGCATCTGAAGAATGAATGACCTTTGAAGATGACCTCTGGCCTCTACACAAGTAAGTATATACATACAAACTTTGATCTTCATCAATCGGTGTGTGTGTGAGAAAGAGAGACAGAGAGACAGAGGGGGTGGTTAACTAAGAAGACTATGGAATAAAAACTCACCGATGACTCCTGGTGTATAGGTTCAGATTCTAGATTGTTCTGACCTTCAGCATGTTCATTGAGGTTAGCTGTTTCACTGCTGCTGGTGCTGAGGCTACAATAATCTGTAGCGCCATTTACAAGAGCGCTTTGTGGGCTACTGCACCAATTTGACTGGTCATTATGATTTTCCAAATCTTTCATTTCCATCAGTCTCATTTGCATCTGCCAATACAAAAGTAGAAATACCAAACAATTTAATATTAGAAGCATATGTAACATACAAATAGGTATGTCCTAGACTTACTCAAGGATGAGTTTGCTTTTGATTAGAGGAATCCTCTGGGAATGCAGCATGACTTAAAAATTTCAATAATCTTTCCCAATGACTCCTCCTGTAATTTTAGCATGCACACATTTGTTTTTGTAAGTCTTGTGAAATCTCCAAGAATTCTGTCTCAGTATCTGAGAACTGGCAGTCTTTCAGGGTATAATTAAAAAAAGAAAGACCTAGGATACCAGAGGAAAAAGATAGCTAAGAATCAGAGAGGATGAAGATTCAGTAACAAAGTTGTAGGGGAGCTACAGGAAGTTAAAGACAGGTACGGCAAGCCAATATATTATCTGTTTTTTTTTTTAATTGTTAGTTTTAGTTTTAGTTTTTTGAGACAGAGTTTCTTGTGTAGCCCTGACTGTTCTAGAACTAGCTCTATGGATCAGGTTGGTCTTGACCTCACAAAGATCAGCCTGCCTCTGCCTCCTGAGTGCTGGGATTAAAGGCTAGCGCCACTACTGACCAGCTTCTGGCACTATCAGTAATCAGAAAGAAGAGCCCTAGAAAGTATCTTCTAAAAAAATATTAAGTCAGCCGGGCGTTGGTGGCACACGCCTTTAATCCCAGCACTTGGGAGGCAGAGGCAGGCGGATCTCTGTGAGTTCGAGACCAGCCTGGTCTACAAGAGCTAGTTCCAGGTCAGCCTCCAAAGCCTCAGAAAAACACTGTCTCGAAAGACCAAACACAAACAAACAAACAAACAAAACCAAAAAACAACAAAAAAACCAAAACAACAACAACAACAAAAAACATTAAGTCAAACAAAGTCCATTAAACAAAGTATAAAACTGTTTTGACCTCATCTATTTAAATGGATTCCACAGTGGGGGCACAAAAGGCAGAATTCAATAAAATTTTAAAATATTTATATATAAAATTATAAAAATTTCATGTTATACATTAAGTAATGTATATAAAAGAGAATCAAGAAAACTAAATTATTTCAATGAGCAAAGTAAGTCAGAATCCCAGGAAAAAAACCAATAGGTTCTGTCTTAGTAAGGGTTACCACTGATGATGAACACACCATGACCAGAGGAAAGGGTTTATTTGGTTTACGCTTCCACATCACTGTTCATCATGGAAAGAAGTCAGGCAGGAACTCAAACAGGGCAGGAACCTGGAGGCAGGAGCTGATGCAGAGGCCATGGAGGAGAGCTAATTACTGGCTTGCTCCTCATGGCTTGCTTAGCCTGTTCTCTTATAGAACCCGGGACCACCAGCCCAGGGATGGCACCACCCATAATGGGCTGGGCTGTCCCCCATCAATCACAAAGAAAATGCCTCCTTATAGGCTGGCCTTTAGCCCTTCTCATGGAAACAATTTTTCAATTGAGGCACCCCCTCTTCGATAACTCCAACTTGTGTCACACTGACATGAAACAGACAATATGTACTGAGAATTTATGTATCAGACACTATATTAAAATACCTCATGTTTTGCCTCATTTAATCCTTGTAATATTGTTAAATCTTCAACTATAAAGATGAAAAATCTGATATTCAAAGGTGATTCCCTTAATAAATGGAAGAACTAGCATTTAACCCTGAACAGTTTAACTACAAAGCCCATACTCTGATTCATTATGCAAATGACCATGAGATGAGCAACGGGCCACTGTAAGTATTGAACAGCTAAAGATAATAACTAGGTAGGTAAAGGAGGAGCAGACAAGGGCCCTCCCAGCAGGCTGCTTGCTTCCACTTACTGAACTAATTTCCTGCTGGGATTCCTGGAGGTGCTGCTGAAGGGGCTCCAGGTGAGCCTTTCCGGATTCCACACTTTCTTCCAACTGTGCTGTTTCTTGTTGTAGGCGACTTAGCTCTTCCCTAGCTTTTGACAGCTCTTCCTCGTAAGTGGAGATCTGAGATTCTTGACTAGTTATTTCAGCTTTCAGGGAAGAGATCTGCAAGTGGAGATGAATGAGAGGAGAGGGAATTAAGATGTCTAGCTTAGTGGTTTGGAATATTTGATGTATTCTTTTAGGAGTGGAAGATAATGGGGAAGGGGCTACAGGGAACTTGGAGGCAAAAGTCTTGTGCAATCAAGATCTGGAAAAACAGCACCCCTCTAATTTCTTCTACAAAGAACAGTAATTCCTCATGGATACCCCTCCAACTCCTTTATAAAGCAACTGCTGACAAAACTGCTGCTAACAAGCAGGAGTGTTTTCTTTTAAACCATGAAAGCGACACAAGCGAAGACCCAGTCAGTAAGCAGCCAGGCTCCTCACCAGCTGGGCCTCCTCAGCACACTTCTTCCTGACTTCCTTGAGCTGCTCTTCCAGCTGGGCCTTCTGCTCATCCAGCTCATCAAGGAGCTCCTGCACCTGCTGCTTCTGGGCCTGGAGTTTTTGCAGATTGATACTCTCCCTTTGAACTTCATCTTGAAGATCCTGAAACACAAGAAAACAAAGACATTGATCTCTTTGAGGGCATGAAGAGGTGAATTTTTAAGTCTATTTTAAGGAAAAAAATTTTGTTTTATTAAATATGTTTTATTGGGGAACTAAAGCACTCAATTTTACATGCAGTCTTCCAGTAACTGCTTCCAGATTTGGGTATCTAGTCTGCTTACTCAACTTTGTCCTTGATGTCTGACGGACTTTTCTAGCATGTCAAAATAGAGGTCATACCATCCCCCGAATCTGCGCTAGCCTCTATCTTCTGCACCCCCGAATCTGCGCTAGCCTCTATCATCTTCTGCACCCCCGAATCTGCGCTAGCCTCTATCTTCTGCACCCCCGAATCTGCGCTAGCCTCTATCATCTTCTGCACCCCCGAATCTGCGCTAGCCTCTATCTTCTGCACCCCCGAATCTGCGCTAGCCTCTATCTTCTGCACCCCCGAATCTGCGCTAGCCTCTAACTTCTGCATCCCCGAATCTGCGCTAGCCTCTAACTTCTGCACCCCCGAATCTGCGCTAGCCTCTATCTTCTGCATCCCCGAATCTGCGCTAGCCTCTAACTTCTGCATCCCCGAATCTGCGCTAGCCTCTATCTTCTGCACCCCCGAATGTGCTTAGCCTCTATCTTCTGGTCAAAGCCATGGCATCTTCTTCCACCCTCCCTTCTTTTACTTTTTGTCTCTAGCCTCCAGTAAGTCCTCCCCCCAGTGCTGGTGTAAATCACCTTCACCCTCTCAGGCAGCTTCCTTCCAGTGCGATATAATGCTTCCACTCAGCTACCTTTGCATGTATTTTTAGCACTTCAGCCACTTAAAAAAACAAAGCAAAAAAGCCTTTGTCAGCTGGGTGTGATGGCAAACACCTTTAATCCCAGCAATCCAGGGGCTGAAGCAGGTATATCTCTGTGAGTATGAGGCCAGCCTGGTGCGGTGGCTAGTTTTATGTCAACTTGACACAAGCTAAAGTCATTTGAGAGGAGGGAACCTCTATTGAGAAAATGTCTTCATAACATCCAGCTATAGGGCATTTTCTTAATTAGTGATATTGGAGGGCCCACATATTGTAGGCAGTGCCATCCCTGGGCTGGTGGTTCTGGGTTCTATAAGAAAGCAGACTGAGCAAGTCATGGGGAGCAAGCAGTAAGCAGCCCTCTTCCATGGCCTCTGGCATTAGCTCCTGTCTCCAGGTTCCTGACCTGCTTGAGTTCCTGTCCCAACTTCCTTCCATGGTGAACAGTGATGTGGAAGTATAAGCCAAACAAACCCTTTTCTCCCCAACTTGCTTTTTGGTCATGTTGTGTCACCTCAGTAACAGAAACCCTGAGACGCATGATCTACATAGTGGCTACCAGGACAACCAGCACTACACAGAGAGACCTGAACTCACAAAAACAAAAATAAAACACCTCCACCACCAACCAAAAAACCCCACGAGACCCTGCACCAAAAACAAAAAGAACTCCAACTCATGTTCTTACCTGTGTGTAACATTGATAAGCATGATCTTATATGTTAGAGAATAGAGTTTGTCAGACCTTTCGTGAGTGTAGGGAAGGGCTGAGAATTGATACAGATAGCTAATAGGAGGAATAAATCCTGATGTTCCACAGCACAGCAGGATAACTATGGTTCACAGCAATTACACATTTCAAAGTAAGTGGCTAGGACTTCCAAAGCTACCAGCAACTACAAAAAATAATGCATGTTTGACAGTTTTGCCAATTATCCCCCCATCTAATCGTTGCATTGTATAAACAGGCTGAAATGTCATGTTGTATCTTTAGACATATATGTGTCAGTTAAAATGAAGAAAATCAAACTTTTTACTTTTTTGAGGTCAGGTCTCATGTAGCACAAATTGGCTTGAACTCAGATGCAGCAAAGAATAGCTAGCCTTGGACTCCAAAGTATTGGAGTTATAGGTATAACACCACAACTGGAAAAAAGCTGTTTTAAAAAGAGTGACACATAAAGTACAACAAATCCTTGTGTCAATCCTATCACTTATCAATTCAAAACCTTCCAGAGTCTTCATCTCACTGGAAAAAAATTAAAGGTGTTGGGATTATTTGTACAACATGTGAAAACATATTGCTGCGATTGGTGTGATAAAAAGCTGAACGACCAAGAGCTAGGCAGGAGGTGTAGGCGGGACTTCTGGGCAGAGAGAGAATGCTGGGAAGAAGAAAAGTGAGTTGCCAGCCAAAGGCGGAGGAAGCAGGATGGGCAGTACAGACTAAAGGTAACCAAGCCACATAAACAAACGTAGATTAAAAAAGATACTGGCTAATTTAAGTTATAAGAACTAGTTAGGAACAAGCCCAAGCTAAGGCTAAGCTTTCATAATTAATAAGTTTCTGTGTTATTTGTAAGCTGGTGGCCCAAAGAAAATGCATGGTGTCTCAGAGACGGGGAATAGAATGGGATCTCCTGAGGGGATTGGGAACTTGGGGTGAGAGGAGGGGAGACGAAGCTTGGAGAAAGACAGGGGGAGAAGAGGAGAGGAAGACATGGGGGAGCGGGAAGGTTGAGTCAAGGAGCCATATAGGTTTGAGAAGAGATCTGGCACCAGGGAGATTTTCAGAGATCTATAAGGATGACACCAACTGGCAAACTAACCAATAGTGGAGAGACTACCTTAAATGCCTTCCCCCAATAATGACATTGATGACTACCCTATATGCCATCCTAGAGCCCTCATTCAGTGGTTGATGGAAGCAGAAGCAGACACCCACAGCTAAACACTGGGCTGAACTCCTGAAAACCAGTTGCAGAGAGGGAAGAGTAATGAGCAAAGTTGTCAAGACCTGGCTGGTGAAACCCATAGAGGCAGCTGACCTGAACAAGGGGGAGTCCTTGGATTCCAGACTGGTGACTGAGAGGCCAGCATGGGACTGATCCAGACCTCCTGAACGTGGGTGTCAGTGAGGAGACCTCGGCAATCTATGGGGCCTTGGACAGTAGACCAGTATTTAGCCCTGGCGTGCAAATGGACTTTGGGAGCCCATTCCAAATGGAGGGATGCTCTCTCAGCCTGGACACATGGGGGAGAGCCTAGGCCCTGCCTGGGATAATATGACAGACTTTGAAGATTCGCCATGGAGGGCCTCAACCTCCCTGAGGAACGGAGGGGGAATGGGGTGGGTGACTGCCGGGGGGTGGGGAGTTTGGGGGGGTGGGAGAGGAGGGGAGGATGTGAGAGCTGGGATTGACATGTCAAGAAAGCTTGTTTCTAATTTAAATAAAATAAAAATATGAAAAAAGAAAGAACCTACTTTATCACTGGGCATGGTGGTGCCACCATGACTTTAATCCCAGTACTTGGGAGGCAGAGCTAGGCGGATCTTAGTGAGTACATGGCCAACCTGGTCTACAATGCAAGTTCCAGGACACCCAGAGCTGTTACACAGAGAAATTCTGTCTTGACCGCCCCCCCAAAAGAACCTACATTATTCCGAATGCCAACTCAACTCATGTCCAACTGCTCCTTCCATTGCCCTACCTGCTGTTCTGCTCCTCCAGCAAGCCAGACATAAACCTCTCCATCTTCCAGTGTTCTACTACTTCTTCTTCTAGGCATCTAAGCACTTGATCTCCTTTAAGGTCAATTTCTGACCAATACAAACATCTCCTGCTTCCACCCCTGATATACAGAATACAGCTTCCCTTCTTTTCTTCCTTCCTTTCTTTGTTTTCTGTTTGTTTTTAAGACGGGGTTTCTCTATATAGCCTTGGCTATCTTGGAACTCACTCAGTAGACCAGGCTGGCCTCAAACTTAGAGGCAGAGGATCCCCTGCCTCTGCCTCCCAAGTGCTAGGATTAAAGGTGTGCTCCACCACTGCCAGGCTCCAGTTTATTTTCTATAATAGTTTTTGTCAGATAATGTACAGATAGTTTTTCTACTTTACTGAGGGAATTGTGCAATTATTACCTAAAGACATTTCAGAACATTTCCATCAACCTCCTAAAGAAACCCCGCAACTTACTAGCAAGTAAGTACTCCTGAGTTCTATAGCACAAATTCTCTTTTGTCTTAAAAATGAAAACCCAGAGTCAGCTATCCAAGGGTGAAAGCTGAAGGATCAGAGAAACAGATTGGCCAGCCACTAGAGTTCTCACATTTACCAATGCTCAGATCAAAGGGGCGATCCTGTCCTCAGACTACATCCTCAGACTGCCTTGAGTCCCTGTCTTCTCCCACCTTTTATAGTCCCCTCTCTGTCCAGCTGTATCACTCCTGTCTCCACCTCCCTAGTGCTGGGATTAACGGTGTGTTATTCCAAGTGCTGAGATCACCTTTGTGTGAGCTCTGTTTCTCTTTTAGACGGACTCTATCTTGTGTAGCCCAGGGTGGCCTTGAACTCACAGAAATTCATCTGCCTCTGTCTCCTGAGTGCTGGAATTAAAGGTGTGTGCACCACTGCCTGGCCTCTATGGCTCACTAGTGGTTTAGCTCTTCACTCTGATCTCAGGCAAGCTTTATTTGTTATAGCATAAACAAAATATCATCACAGACCTCCCTTCTCTTATTTTCTATTCTCCTCTGTCCAGGGTAATCACTAATCTATTTTCATCTCTATAAATCTGTCTAACTTGGATACTTTACATAAACATAATCATGTAACTTTTTTCCCTAACTGGTTTCTTACACTAAGCATAATGCTCTTTCAAGACTGGTATATAAATATTTTAAAAAGCTTCACTGAGCTTATACAATGTCTCATGGATAGTAGGCAAGCCCTCCACCACTGTTCATGTAAAGTGAAATTTTAATTGATTATATAGAAAAGATTAGGCTGGCAAGATATTTCAGCAGGTAAAGATCCTCAGGCTTCACACAGTGGAAGGAGATACTAACAAGGTGCAGTGTGGCATGGCTGTTTCCCCCACACACATACAAGAGGTAAGTGCTATTATTAATCATGTATACAGTTAAGAAAACTAAAGCAGAGATGGACAAGTAAAAAACTATTCAGGTTACTTCTCAGA